CAATTGCTGAAGGATGGCTGCTCACCAGTGTTAGAAAGTTAAACTATTCAAATTTATGACTTCTGACTAGTAGTTTTTAATGAAATGATTTTGAACCATCAAGATAAACCTGACTTTATCTCATTAGATGAGTGAAGAAACACCTTTTGCACCGCTTCAATGTGAAATGCTGAAACGTTAACATGGTGAGTAATGGTTACCATGGCACCTCCACCAGCTATTTTCTTGCTTTGCTTTTTACAGAAGACAAGCTTTGTTACTGCAGGGTCACAAGATGGGTGAAAGCACAATTTAAGTTGGATTTAGTTATTTTTCCAATGAATTATGTGCTGAATCGGTACTCACTGCCTCTACAAAATAATACTTTGTCGCAATAATACTTAACATTACCGGCATAACTGAGCTGCTTGATGAACTTTCTTGATACTTCCAGACCCGACCAGTTTTGGCCTTGGACCTAAATATTAGAAATGTGTTTATTTTTCATTTTTTGGTGGAATGGATGGGAGCTGCCACAGACTCGACCTACTGCGGTATTCAGTCTTCACATTATGTGTAGACAGCATGAGCTCCAGTGTTTGCTTAAAGTTAACCTTGGATCGCTGTTTTGCGGTGTCCATTTCTTTACACTGCCTTCAGTTTTGACAACAACGTGCATACCAAACTCTTGTGTCAACTGCCAGACTAGAAAGGCTTACTGTTCACAGATAAGGAAATGGGGGAAGTTATGTTTTAACTCTGGTGGGATTTTACTACAACCTAATAATAATTTCTAGATCATGAGAGTCAAATACTTAAAATTGCCAAAGATTATCTGTAATAGTATCAGGCAAAACACTGTATTAAGTGCTAATCCCCTTGATTTTTAGATTATATCAGTGTGTTTACAACTCTTATCTTTAGTCTTACAATATCTGAGTGTCCCTCTAGGTTTTTTAAACTGCCAGACTTGGAGGCACGGGGTTTCTGCAGTTCACAAAAAAAAAACCATGTAGCACATTATCCATGCACTCCTCCTGAATATCAGATTAGATCAGTGTGCTCATAGGTCTTATCTGTCTACCTCTCGTCTTCTTAGCTGTATGGCTTGCCTACTGTAACAAGAAATCAAAGAGGGTTGTTGACCTAAAAACAACAGCAGGTGTGGTTTTACTTCTGTAAGTAAAACATAATTTTGTTGTGATTCCTGTGTAATCCTGGCTGATGTTGGAAAGTTTTAAGTACAGAGAGAAAATGTGTTTTTCCCCTACAGGGACATGCCAGTAGCTAGAAATTAAATGGACGCTGCTTGATTAATGTATTGAGTCATGGCCATTAGAAGTTATAGACATCTCAAAGTGATGTGAGTGGTGTTTCAAGAAATTGAAATCATACCACCTCACCGCTGTTCACCGTTTGTCCATCTCTCTCTCTGCTCTACGCTCCCTGTCAATTACCAGCTGCCAAATATGGTGCGAGCATGCAGATCTTCCTATAAATGTGCTGCCATAAATGAATAAAGCTATAAACAACAACAATGTCCGAGTGACGAAGGAGGCCCACCCATGCTCAGTATATACAGCTCCATTGCTTCACGTCGTTTCAAACAAATAACAAATTATAGCTATCCTTACATCTGTGCAAAAAAAAAAAAAAAAAGAGTTGGGTTTCTGACGTTGACAATGTTGTGTGAGGAACATATGGCAGTCTGTTGGTGTGCACAGAGTGTGTGTCAGAGAGAGATGGCGAAGAATAGGCGAGCAGTGAAGTCAGTTTAACAGTAAATTTACAGTGTAGGTTACAGTTTGTTAGTGAATAAAGGCGGCACCTTCTCAAGACCAAAGTAAATCTCCCGTGTGCTGTTTCCCCCCCTTTGGAAAACTGAACGGGGTAATCTCTTTGTCGCATTGAAGATGATGTCAGGTGTGCATGGAGCGGTGGGACTATTCACAGGCTGGTCTGTTGTCTGTGTTTGTGAGGGATAGAGAGAGCAAGAACAGGGCAATGGGTGGCCGAGCAAATCATCACGCTGCACGGATCTTTGCAGTGAAATGCATTTTACATAGTCAAATAAAAAGATCAATATGTGGTGGTCAGTGTTGATATTGTGGTGGGCCACCACAAATAAATAAATGAATGTATGTGAAACACTGTGGTACACAGACTGCTGCTACTGCTAGATTACTAACCACGCTAAGTGAGCAAACTGCCCTCAAGCCCCAGATCCCCAGGGTCCCTGAAAAGTCCATGTTTACGATGTGTCAATTAGCCTGTTGTAATTTGATGAATTGCTAATTTGTTTGGAACATGCACCTCTATAGAACAATATTAACTGAAATGAAAAGTACAATGGATAGTCGGCTGTGTGAAATGTACTGTGGTTCAGCAGGAGGCCTCAGGGCCCCCCAGGGTGTTGGTGTGGACATGGTGATGAGAGTGGGCTTTGTTGACATAAAAGATATTTTTCTTGTGAGCTTACGTAATAGAACATTAGCTGGAATGTGATATTTGACTGTAAGCAAGACAAGGATTTTGCATTTAATGCTTCTCTGTAGTCTTGTTATTCATTACAAGACATTACATTGGTTGAGTATCTTGTGTATCATGTCTTCAGTGAGAATCTTTTAGTGAGAGTGGTGTCTCTTTGTCGAGGCATAGTCCGTAAAGTTGCTTGTACAGCGACTTCCTGTTTGTGTGGGGATGATGGATTGAGGACTTACCATTAAACTGGTATAGGCAAAATGTAAAACTACTTGGAACTCATTCTCAAGCGGTAATAAAAACACTGGTCTCTGTGAGATGTTATGTGGAAAGCTGGGGCCTACAAAAGATACAAAATAATTTACATGACACTTTGGCATTGAAATTTTCCGTAGTAATCATAAAAGCACTCACATGTGTTGTCCCAGAGTTAATATGCCCCAAAACCCTGATTGATAGTGCTCAAGGAAGATAAACGCTGTGCAAAAGAGAAAATAACACAATGTTTGAAAATCTATCTCTGTCATACATCTGGCCTGGGTGTCAGCCAAGTCAGTATTACAATGGAGCCATACAATGAATTCCAACAGGGAGGGAGGAAGAGAGAGAGACAATTTAACAGTATAAACAGCCGCAGTGTCAGTGTTTTGTGTAACAGTGATTGTTGAATGGTGGTTGGTTTTGTGATATAATAGAAAAATAAATTGTGTTTTCTTTATGGATGTAGGCTATATTTATCTTGGGATGAATGCTTTATCTTGAGTAAGCAAACACAACCCTGTTTGTAAGTTACTTTTACATATCAGCTGGTGCCAGGTGGCAGTGAAAAATGACAAGACTCAAGATCACACCTTGTATGTTTGATCTTGAGCTTTTCTCACGTAACACCTAAGCATGTGGAGAATACCTTAATCCTGAGAATAACTGAGGTAGACTTAGTAACTATAACACCTTAACTTGAAAGTCTTTCAACTTGAAGCATTTCAAAGCGTTTCTGTGCCTAGCCTTAATCAACACAGTTAAGTGACGTGATGTGCAAAACTCCACACCAACAGATTACACAGCCATGCAGCTCCAAACCCTTCGGACCTAGTTATTGAAAATTATTGATATTCCCTCTGCTGGTTTATTGATTTGTATGTAAAGCAGATGAGAAAAGAAGACCTGTCTCTAACCAGAGCTCCTGTATTAATGTACAAAGAAACTAATTTACACAAATTATTTAGTGCAAGTCATTTATTGGAAAGAGTTTTACAGCATAAGCAAGTTTAGAGTAAGAACTGGTATTGACATTGAGGCTTGCAGTGATATCCAGGGACACAAAGCACCTTGCTCTATCTCACCCTCTCCCTGATGAGAGTTTTTGAAAAGCATTGACAAGCACCTGACCCTGAAAGAGTGATTTAATGGAGCAGCACCCTGTAACGTTTTGAGTCATACCTTTCCTTAGGCTGTTTGTGGTTTGGTGTGTACTTGTGTGCGCGCGCGAATGTGTGTGTTGTCTCAATATGTTGTTCAACAACCAGCTCTATGTAGTCAGCTGTCCAGTGCAGTGTCGATGTCATTAATCACAGACCCAACACAGCGGAGAAAGGGAGTGAGGAGGGGAGAGAGAAAGGGCCAGGCTGGAGTTGTAATCTGTACAAGGTACCTAGGGAAAGATGTGGAAGATGTAAGGAGGAAAGAAACAGAGAAGAGGGCAGAAATGGGAGGAGAGGGAGGGGGAGTTGAGAGGTGTATAAATGAGGAGATGAGGAGCAGAGGCAAGGAGTTGGTGACCGGAGGCCTTTTGCTTTTGCATTGGTTTAGTCCAATTTTATAAGAAATAAGACTTGAGTTACATTTTGTTATTAAAACCCAGATGAATTGTACAACTTGGAAGAGTCAGTGTAATTGTTTCTTTATCATATATCCACAGGGGTGAATAAAAAACTTTATGAAACTATCCTGCCATTCTGCATTTGACATGAGATGAAACCGTTTAGTTTAGTTAGTTTTTGATAAACCCTCCCTGTGTTACACCCTCGACCCAGGATCTTGTTTTTGTAGGGAATACGTAATGTCACAGTAAGATGCTGCACTGTTTTATGTTGAGTTTAAGCTACATTATATAATATTAAAAGTGAATAGACTAGAAACCTTTACACACCAGGGATGCAAAAAAATTGCCTGCGAATATGTTGCATCAAAACTATTTATACCGACAGCGAGGCAAATTTGCGACACAATACAGTAAAAGATAGAATACACACACACAGTCCACACACACCACACAAGCAGGACAGGAACTGACGGAAGAACGGCAGCAACATGCAGATCCCGTGAGTCCTCGTGGGTCTCACTGGGTTCAATTCAGCAGCCAGGCTTGGGGCTCCAGTCCAGTCTGGTCCATTGAAATGTATTAATATGTTATAAAACACCAAAGTCACACGAGACAAACTGAATGAAATAGTGGTAGACCAGCAACTTAGGTGTTGTGCAAGACAAAATTACTGTTTTCGTGGACAACTACTTTACATTGGTTGTCTCCTGTATTATAGGAAGGAGATTTCCTGGTTCGTACTCACCATGTTGAATACTGTGACGGGGGGATTCTGGACCCAGATGACATACTCAGTGATCTGGTAGAAGACAAGGACAAGGTAAGAAACTCTCAGTGTAGAATGTAATGTTTTGTGTTTGCTCCTGATTTTAATCTTATAAAGTAATTAAAGATATGAGATAGTTCCATTGCTCCATTTAATTTCACTTTGTTTAATATATAAGTACAGAAATTGTGAACAAAGAATTCAGTGGTGGTATGTGTCTTTAAGCTGACCACCAACAGCCATGTCTTCTTAATTAATACCCGTGAAATGAAGCTAACACGTGTGAGGTTAGACTTAAATAGCCTTTGAATAAAATGGCCTGTTTCCTGAATGACCAACCAGAAGCAGAGTACACAAACATGCATGATGTGGCTTACCAAATATCCATCCAGGTAGTTCACAAGAAGTGAAACAAATGCTGGGCAGTTGTTGTCAGGGTTCCCACGCAACCCCATACTCAAATCGCCTACTTCATCCTAGGTTAGAAGAAAACTGTAGTAAACTGTAGTCAGAGAAGATTGTCTATGGTGAGAACTAATGTAGCATCTTATAAACGTTGACCTCCTACCTGTAATGAACCTACATCACTTCATTGTGAACCCTTCATCAAAGGAGAAATAAAACTGGAGTTATATGTGTAAATACTAGGCCGCTAAATATTATTACCATTTGTAAGCAAGTGCTGCTCTGTAAGAAAATGTAAAATGACCTGAAAAGCTTGTGGAAAAGGATTTCTGAAAAAGAGTGCTTGTTCTCGACACAGAGCTACAAAATCACTGTATTTAAGTCAAACATCTTCAATCCTTTTGATATCGTTCCGATAATGCATATAATCCTTTTGATTTATACCTATTAATTAGTCATTAAACACTGTGTGTGCGCACAAGGGTGTATGCTTGTACGAATGTTTGAGTGAGTATCTGTGCCTGGTATTTTGTGTGTGCGCGTGTATGGGTTCACACACATACAGTATTGAGCCGCAATGGCCTATAAGCCACTCCCTTGAATAGAATATTGCCTCACAAGCAAAATTCAAAGGGAAAAGGTTTTAACTTGCCTTCAGCGTTAGGCAGTGTCATTAGCAATTCACTTTTGGAGACTTTGCAAACTCAATCCATATATTCCCCGTTTTTCTTATTTTTCCCCTGAGGAATGTGTCATTTTTCATTTTACCCGTTGGAAAGTGTAGTTTTGTTCATATCGTCTCATAGACTACGGCACTATTAGAATGTGATGAATGGCCTAGATTAAGGGCTTTTTGAACCATGACTTAGGACCTTAAATGAATCTTGAACCTTCTCTTGGTGCCTCTGCACATTAAAACAGTATCAACATGTTTTAATGAGCCTGTGTCCTATAGTGAACTGAATATTTCATTTAGGTCACAGCTTAAAAAAAGTTTAAGAACCTACTGGCTAGAAAATATAAGTACAGTATATTTCCCTGTCCTCTGCGCATACTGTATGCCTTCAAGGATGTATAAATACTGCAGGATGTGTTGGAGATTCTCTGAACTAATTAAGAACAAAGTTGCATTAGTTGGCAATTTCTCTCGGGGGTGTAGGAACCACTGCGAATAACTGAAGTGATCTCTCTGACTCTAACAGGACTCAGGCCTCTATTCAGGTCAAAAAAAAAGAATTCCTTTGCTTATAATCTTCTTTTTTTAGATCTTGTGACCAAAATGGGTTTTTTAGCATGAAAAATGTGTCGTAAGCAGTGTTTTCGCTTTGACAAGGTTAACACAAACATGCTTTAGATATGTGACTGCTGAGAACTATCTTTGAAGTAAAGAAATAAAACTCCCATGTGACATTTTTAGAAATATTTACAGCCCTGATTATTCTCAATGCTTGTTTTCCTGATGAACTCGTATGTATCAGAGTGGGGGTGGGGGTTACATGTCACACTAAGCTGCAGCCCAGGGGCCATATAAGTCAGTGACAGGAGCAATAACAGTGTCAGGAGACCAGGAACTGACCTAGGGGATTACTATTATGAGAGCCTGTTGCCATAGTTTTTTAGTGACAGAGCAGCACGCACTGGTCCTACTGTTGGCTAATTTTCCCTTGCCCCGTGCCACTCAAAGTTCCACAATCAAATTATAAAAAAATATTGTCCCTCTGTGGCATGTATACTATTTCCTGCTGTCTCTAAATACAGTGCTCCGTATTTTAGATGCAAATGAACAGTTGGGCGACACAGTACATCCATGCACTACACCTATCAGTGAGGATGCAAAAGAATGGGTGTCCATAAGTGTCAATTATAAACAGAATAGTAAATAAGGGAAATATTTGATGACAGCCCAAATGTAAATGTTTTAAGTGTGTAATAATTAGGAGGATCTACTGGAGAAGTTTTTTTCTGCAGACGCCACAGGTTGCCTTCCATGGAGTCTGCCATGATCCACCATGTTTCTACCCAGCCCAGAACTGACAGGCCAAAAATTGGCTGTAGATAGGGCCTTTGCCGTTTTTCCTACACACTTCACAGCCCGTTGTCATTCCTAGCTTGTCAAAAACAGTGTTCACTTAGTTGCAATCTGCTACTTCCCTGGTTGATGCCACTAAATCCCACACACTGGACTTTTTAAGGGTTTCCAGGTTAGTTGGGCCACAGTTGGCACAAAGCCAGATGCCCCTGCTTACAGGAGGTGGCGGTCTGTGCTGTTACTATGGAGATGAAGTGTTTTAAACATGTTTGCGAGGTAGCTACAGTTGGAGCCAACCAAAGCTATTTATGGCACCTTTCAGACATGCACCCCGTTATTTCTGTTAAACATGGGGGTCTCATGTCTGAATAAGCTCTCTGGTTACTGTAACAGTCACAACGGCCATCTTACTGGGTCTGCACAAGTCTGAATTGAATGTAGTTAGATTAAGGTAAAAGCTGCAGCAGCACAAGGTCCAAAGGGAGAAATGTGCATCTTGTAATGTTACCATCTTCTAAGATCACTGTAATAAACATATTATCGGAAAGTAAGTCAAAGCATCACTGTTCAATGCCTGATGTTCAGCACTAATTGATTGACATTCTTCTGTTCAGTAGTACACGTTCAGTCTGAGCTTGAGTCAGAGCTCCGCTGCTAAAAGCTACTGATTTGATAAGTGATGATAGTGATTTAGTACAGTCAGTTCACTTTGAAAATGTGTTGAGGAAGCATCGAGTTGATGTCAGAAAAGAGGAAGTAGTATATAAGTCTGGCTAGAAATAAAATTATTAGATAAGCACTGGATCATTTGAATAGTTGGTCTAGAGTTGCAGCTGGTTTAACAAGTTTCTGTATCAAGGATGGAGTTCTAATGACTGTAAGTGTGTGTGTGTGTGTGTGTGTGAGGGGGGGGTTGTTTGTCTCAACTATATTTTAAACTCTCTCCTCATATTCACTCAAAAAGGATAGTAAGGCTTTTTGTTAATCTCCTTTGAATGCAGTGAAGCTGCACAAAACTAAAATACGATTGCAGTGCAGAAACCAAACATAAAGGCACATCCATACTACAAAATACACATTTCAATACTGGGATCAAATAAAGTGCCACACACTAATTCCCCAAACACACATACGGTGAGACACACAGACACACACACACACACACACACACACACACACACACACACACACACACACACACACACACACACACAGAGAGAAATAAACTGCACAGAATGATACCCAGCAATACACACTTCTGAGCACCAGAGATTGCATATGAAATGAAAGTGTGAAATATTCATTGGATTCTGAAGCGAGGCTCTCATAGTATTACTGAGCTGAGATTAATAAATGGCTCATAATCCCAGATGAGTGTTTTACTGTAGGCAGACTCAGACTGCCTAGCTTTTGGTTTATAACCACAAAGAAAACAGAGAAGATCCTTGAGGTCTGTTGAAGACAGAGGTCAAAAATACTATTTCAAAAATACATGGCTGAAATATACCCAAGTGGTGCATTTGAGGGAGAGAGCGCTGAAATTTATGAAGGTTTGACGGGATATTTATGTAGCAGCTCGGAGGAAATGTGGGTGTGCTTTAAATTCAGGATATGTATCTGTATTAGAGGGTGACATGGAAGTGGATTTTCACTCCTGTCATCTCCCAGGAATTTGATGTTCTCGCCATCCTTTTCTTAGATTACTTGAGTTCTTGGTGTCTCTAGAACAGAGGTTTCTTGTCCAGGACACGTTTAGCATAGCTTGTCAAAAGCCAAAGGTACGTATAGGTGCTGTGTGTTTTCTTCACCCAACAAACCAATGCTCTGATAGTTATTAAAGGACCAGGACCAGATTAATGGCATCTTGTGGTGTATATGCAGAGCACATGTAGATCACATCTACGGGAAACGTGCTAAAAAACGTATACGGCCCTATCTACAGCCAATGTTTGATTTGTCTCTTCTGGGCTACTGTATAAACATGATGGTTCAGCATGGTGGAAGGTGACCCGCATCATCTGTAGATATTAACGGCTCTTTCTAAGGTAACAAAAACATAACAATCGCTATTTTCAGGTGATTATTCACTAATGAAAACACACCTATGAATATTTATTTCCATTTCTGCCAATAGATCCTCCTGTAATCTACACTGGACCTTTAAAACCAAATGAGAGACTCAGCAATCCTGTTCAGTAGGGGGACCCTCAATATAACTCTATTCCTGCCTCAGATAGAATGCTACTATATAACTATAGCAGGATAAAAATAATGTGGGGAAAGTATTTTTGTGTGCTTGGTGTTCAAGTACCTGTAGACCATCACCCCCACCCCAACCTTTTTTCTCCATTACCCTAATGTCTCCCTTGCACGTTGTTTTTCAAGCCCACTCACAGCTTTATGCCAAAGAAAATGAAAAGTAAGCAGGAAGTATGGATTCCCATCAGCATTTTCTGTGTAGCTGGAAGTGTAATTCCTAATGTATTTTTCCCATCTTGTAGGTATTGCAGAAACAGCCTTACAGAGACCAGGGTTTGTTTAAAAGGTTAGCTGCTAATGGAGCGAGAGGGGAGAAACACTGTTGCCTTGTATGATATTGATGTTTGTTGTGGGACATTAG